CGTTCAAGCGTCTCGTACGCACGCACACACTCGCCACGATCCGCACACCGTGTGCAATATGCATACACTCACATACAATACGCATTACGCACTACACAATGTCTGACTGAGGCAGGCATTATCCCGCCAACAATCACCCAGTCATAAAACTGGTGACGGCGCGGTCTCGGCAGCCGGGTGCCGTCACACACTGACGCATGTCGTAAACTACACACGCTGGGCCGAGAGGCATTGGCGGCAGTGACATTGCCGTCACATGGCCGACACACAACAAACACCCATCACACAATGTACAACATGACACACATTACGTTACCGAAGCGGCGAAGCGAACAAACGCGGACGTACAATAGCGCTAACACGGTGCGTATCATAAACTAATCTAACACTGCTATGTTACACTCTAAGGTCGTAAACTACTAGCGCGTTCAAGAACTGTCAAACGGCTCACAGCTGACAGCTAATGGCTGCACTCAACACAAATGACCATTCGCAGCGGACAGAATGAGCGGCTCACTCTCACACGCACACACACACACGTTGGCATCGCGAATGGTGGGCGCAGGAAACACTAATAAATGCTCCGATCTCCACACTGCTCGCCGGCGGCACAGTGCGGTCGTAGACGACTCACTTTAGCCGTCCCCCGTGCCGCACATTATCTCTCCGAGTCCGTTTACTGTTCGTCGCCGTCGCACTCGAGACGGTAGAGACGAGAGACTGGCCGCCTGTAACGACCAGTGGCAGTCGTCGCATCCACGGCGCGGATACGACCGCCTACACCGGGGTCATACACTCCGCTCGTCCCATCGGCCGGTGTCCACGCGGTACGTCTCCGTCGGTCAGTCGCACTAGTTCGCCAACCTTGACCTCGGTCGTGTCCATGATCGACATGCAGTGTGCGGTCGGCGTGCGCGGGGAGACACTCTCGCCGCCGGCGTCGCCAGGAGCGATCCTGCGGCTGCGTGTTCTTCCGCTTCCAGCGACGGCCACCGACTCTGAGCAGGCCGCCGGAGTCCATGAGGCAGGACGAGAAGTCACTGCCGTTTACGACCGGCTCCGCTCGCTCGGTGACGCACGCTGTCACCCTCGTCTCGTCGTCGGAGAGGGCGGCCGGGCCGGACCGCGCAGCTGGACCTCGTATCCACGGTCCGCCCGGGGCGAGGTCCGTCCCCGGGCCGCCTCTGCTGAAGATGTCGGCCGGGCCCGGCGGCTCGGCTGCGTGACACCACTGGGTCGTCTCTGATGATTCCTGGGTGTGACGTTCAGCGACTGCACTCGTTTTATCACTGACACGAACGTGATTGACAACGTGTTCACCATCGAGCACCGAGCGTTCCGACGCCCGCCCGGTCACCGTCCATCCCAACAGCGTCCTTACGGCGCACAGCGTTCCCGTCGGTCCCTCGATCACTTCCCGCGGCACAATAAGTTCGATGACGTCGGTTCCCAGGAGCACCTCCACTGGGCCGTGGGTGGCGCTGGGGAGATCCAGGTCGGCAAGGTGCGGCCATTTCTCCTTTGCCACTGTGCAGTCCATGGCCTTGGCTGACACGTTTAACGTCGGCGTCGTTTGGGCGTTTCGTATACGGTGTGCCCTGCCGTCGCCGCCCACAGCCTCGACGGCGAAGGATACGCGTCGTGACGTCGTCGTTTGGGTCCCACTCAGCGTACTCAGCACCAATTTGTCGGTGGGCCCCGAGATGCCGAGCCGGTCACACAGGTCGTCGGTGATCAGTGTGACCTGACTGCCCAGGTCGAAGAGTGCGTTCGTGGTGCGGCTACCTGCCGGCCCATTTACGGTGACGGGCACCACCTGCAGGAGAACATCACTGCGAGGCTCGGCCGATGCGGTGCCGACATGTTTGGCAGATGACGGCGTACCATCATCGGAATCGCGCAGCGGAAACACTCGTCCTCCATTGTGTAACAGCGTGTGATGACGCCTGCCGCAGTGCTCCGCGTCACATCGTGCATCACTGGGACACGTGGCGCTGATGTGATCGCGACCCAGGCAGTTAAAGCACAGTCCGTTTCTGCCAACGAACTCTGCCTTCTCACTCACAGTCAGCGCGAGAAATTCGTCACAGTGCTGGAGCTCGTGTGTTTGCTGACACATGGTACACCAGTCACTGTGTCCGTCCGCTGATGACTTTATGGCAGCTGTCCTCTCCCGCTTTACAGCCGCCGGCGTGGGCCGCGCCGACGCGGTGGTAAACACGCGTCTCGGGCGGCACTCAGCGTCATTAGCCTCGACCTTCGGCAGCTGCTTGGTGGTCACGTTCAAGGCCAACCGACCAGCTGACACATGACGGCGAAGCCATTCGTCGAGATCGACGAGCGTCGGACGAGTGATGCCGTTTTCCACCATGTGCTCGCCCCACCTCCAGGCGAGGGAGGCTGGTAGCTTCCCAGTCACAGTGGTGACGTTCGTGGCGGCAGCGAGGTCGTGCTCGTAGTGCAGACACTGTAGGACGCTCACCGCGGTGTGGAGCTCACGAGACAGCTCTGTGAGCGCTGACAGGTCACCGTCTTTCACTGGCCGCGCTGTGATCAGTCTTTTCATCGTGGCGTGTATCACACGGGACGGGTCACCAAACTCTCGTTCCAGCTCACCCAGGGCAGTGCTATATAGACTGGCGTCGCAGAGCATGCCGCGCACCGACTCCTTTGCCGGCCCCGTCAGGTGAGTCTGCAGGTAGGTTAGCCGTTCCACGTCGGTGAGATCAGCGCGGTCGTGCACCAGCGCTTTGAAGAGGGCTATCCACCGCGGCCACTCGATGGCAGAGCCGCCGAACTTCTCTAGCGTGATGCGCGGCAGATGTGGGACCGCTCGCGTGTCGTCACTGGACGGGCGCTGCAGACGCATTGCAGGTGGAGGCAGGGTGCCGACAGGAGCCGTATCCACTGGCGGCACATGCAGCTGAGACTGAGCCAGCCACTGTCGGGTGCGCGTGGTTGACTCGTCCGTTTGTCGAGACACGTCCACCAGTGCCGGTGGCTCAGTTGCAACCACCGGAAGACCAGCGACGGATGGTGCAGCGGAAGAACGAGGGTGCTGCGAACCCCGCTCCTCCTGCTCCAGCAGCTCCAGCTCCAGCTGACGGCACTCAGCTTCATCCTTCGCCGCCTGTGCCTCCAGGGCTGCCTGCGCCTCTGCCTGCTCCGCCCGCACCTCCGCCTCCCGTCGGGCCTGCTCCGCCTGCGCCTCCGCCTGACGCCGGGCCTGCTCCGCCTGCGCCTCCGCCTGACGCCGGGCTTGCTCCGCCTGCGCCTCCGCCTGACGCCGGGCCTGCTCCGCCTGTCGTCGGGCCTGCTCCGCGTCCGCCTCCGCCAGACGCCGGGCCAGCTCAGCCTTGGCGGCGGCGGCGCGCTGGGCCTGTTCCGCCTGGAGCTGGCTAAGTGCAGCCCGGCGGCGGGCTTCACTGAGACCGGAGGACGCCGTGCTGAAGCTCGCCTCGCTCCTCGTGTGATACGAGCTTCGGCGGCTTTGATGTGATTTCGCATCACTGGCATGTCGTGACCGCTTGTCAGACATTGTACTCACAGTTCACAACACCGCGTCGTCACTGTAAATCCATCACACTAGTTAGTTCACTGATATCCGGCCCGGAGGACCAGAATGTTCATGAGAAACGTACAGTTCACCCGTTCGATGCGGAAATGTTCGTGCGTGCTCGTGATCGTTCACTCGTTCTCGTACTCGTTACCCGGAGGACCATAAAGTTATTGTTCATATAAGTAAAAGTCTATTCTTGAATACTTAGTAAGCGGTTAAAAAGGGTGAAATACGGCGGTCACAGGTGCAGTTCACTGAGTCGTATCGTTCTCGTAAGGCCACGTCGGCCGCGTCGTACGTAAGGCCACGTCGGCCACGTCGTGCACCGGGCCGTGTCGCGCCGGCGGAGTCACGGTCGAGACTGTCAGGCCCCCGTCCCGTCTCAGCCCTCGTGGTACGCACAACACGTGGGCATGAGAACCAGGACAGGGGCCAGATGACACATATGTGAGCGGCGTGGCGCGGCGGACCGACCGCCGCGCTCCGAGCGCCGGCCGTCTTTGCGAAGATATCAAAAATGCCTATTTGCTCGCTAACAGTTCCCGTATCGTAGCCCCTCGCCCGCCCCCTAGCTCTGACGCCGACACTGGCCGTTTGGGATGGCCGAAGGGTTCATTGTTCAACTATGTCTATCGGGTTGGCGAGCGGAAACTGGGAGATCAGAGTCCGCGCCACACCGGCGGACCAGCCGACGGGACTGGGTCAGCGGTCAGCGGTCAGCGGTCAGCGGTCAGCGGTCAGCGGTCAGCGGTCAGCAGTCAGTGGACGGACCGCCGGGTCAGGGAGACATACATCAGACATCTATCGCTGCGGGCGATGCTCCAGGGGAACGTTCCCGCCGCCCCGGGCCCCTCTCCGTCGGCGGAGCGAGGCAGCACTGCGGGACCGCTCCACTGTCCGCTCAGCCCGGCCCCCTCCCGGCCCAGTAGTGGTACACACGCGGACACGACACAGCGCATCTCCGTCCGAGCAGCGCACGCGGAGCGCGCGCCGTGGGGGTGTCAGTGGCGCCGACAACATCGGTTACTGGACGAGCCGATAATGGCGGGCCGACCCATCAGGCTCACCGGGCCCGTAACGACCCGGGGGACGAGACCGGTCGGCGTCCGCCAGCGCCGACCGCTGCACTGGGGCAGCGCCGACCGCTGGGGCAGAGACGACCGCCGACCAGGGCCGCCGGCCCGGTCGGCGTCAGCCAGAGCTCCGATCGCTGCGGCAGCTCCGACCGCCGACCGGCGACCCAGCGCCGACCGCCGACGGTCGGTAATCATTAGCCATTGCCGCTGTCTCGCACAGCAATGGCTAACGACGCGCGCACCAGGTCCGCATGATATCGCCCATGACGGCAATGACAAAAAGTAACAAAAAATCAGTACATTAGCTGCGGCATTCGCCAGCTATCGGCGGTGAATAAGGGGACTCGGGCATGCCGTATACTTACGTATCAAAAATCCGTCTGCGCAGACATGGAACATTCGGTGAATCGGTTACCGGGGCATCAGCAGCATCAACACTGCACAACAAACTCCAGCTACAGAACAGCATCGACACTGCACAACAAACTCCAGCTACAGTCCCAAACACAAGCCTTCCTCGGTACCCATTACCCAAACTAAAAATCATTAGGCCACCGAACAAAAAATCACACACAGCACAACACAGAGCATCCAGCAAAGCACCCCTCACGATGCACACCAGTCAACACCACTCCGCCATACCTACCAGCGGCAGTCGGCAGTCGGCACCCCCGCACGCCCCGACGGCCGGGGAGGGGTCCCGCACTCCTTCCCAGCCCTCCCGGTCACCTCCCCGGACAGCTGCTAGAGGCCACCCCGCCGACCTGACCCGCCGCGGCGCGGCCCGACAGCCGTCAGGAGCACCCCGCCCCGACCCGACCCGACCTGACCGGAGCCGACCTGACCTGACCCGACCTGCCCCGACCTGACCTGACCTGAGCGGAACCGACCCAGTCCGGTCAGACGGTCCGAGCCCTACACAATGCGAGCTCGGTCTAGTTCGATCCACAATGCAGGGTGATGTGTGTGAAAATGGAGCGTCTTGAGGTCTCAGTCCTAATGGAACAGCCTACCTCAATGTGGACGCGATGAATTTGAACGACTGAAACGTCCCCACGGGAGCCTGCGCTATTCCGATGAGACGCACACAGACGTACTAGGAAGCCCAGTGTAGCGTCACACACAGACGTAGGAAGCCCAGTATAGCGCTTCCGACATCCCGGCTACCAGCCCAGTGCAGCGCGTCTCACATCCCGTCTAGCAGCCTAGTGCAGCGCGTCTGTCATCCCGTTCCAGTACAGGGTGCGGAAAAAGTTCTGTCATATCTCCGCATTTCCACAAACAAATGCAACCTGCGCAGCTATATTTAATAAAACCACCAAACACTGGTTTGCCACATCTTACCACATGCTTTCACTCCCCCTCACTCAATATAACCCCCCTCAGCGGTGATGACCTTCTCCACACAGGGGTGAAAAGACTGGCATGTCTTGAAGATGTAGGCGGGGTCCATCGCCTCCCACGTCTTCACGATGTGCGCCTTGAGAGCCTCCACATTAGGATGGGACACTCCCTGGACCTCCTCCTGCAATACGCTCCAGATGCCGTAGTCGAGGGAGTTCAGGTCGGGTGACTGAGGAGGTCACATCTCCCTGCGTCAGAAATGGGCCTCCCCGAGCTCTTCCGTCAGCTTCTGCCGGGTGGAACTTGCAGTGTGCGCGGGCGCTCCGTCCTGCTGGAGCACAAAATTGCCGAGTGGATAGGTCTTCAGGATCCATGGGATGACGTCATTGCTCAGGAGACGTTCGTACACCACCCTCTTCACCTTCTCATTGGCGTCAATTAAGAGCATCGGGCACTTCTTGCCGTCCGAACCCACCACGCCGAGCGCCATCACTTTCTGTGGATGTTTATTCACCGGATTGAATCGAACCATCGGATCGACAGTCTCCCCCTTGGTCTCCCCTGCTCGTATTTTGGCTTTAATGCGCATGACTGTTCGCCAGGTGACTCCACATTTTGCCGTAACCTGCTTATCGGTCATGCCCGATTTGGCCGCCGCGCGCAGGCACCCAGCGACGAGGCGTCGTTTAGCCTGCCTTTTCATGACTGACCGTGAACAGCTGGTAGTTTCTGCCCTCCGGCCAGGTGGCTAGGTCACCGAAGGTCACGCCTGCGGCTATTCGCTGCCCAGAACTCAACCGCAGCGCTCGTAGGCGAGATTAGCATGCATATGACAGAACTTTTTCCGCACCCTGTATAGCGCGTATGACAGAGAGCCCAGGGCAGTCTGACCCCTTCCCCAACAAAGTTCGTCTGACGGCCCAATTCTGTTCGTCTGACAGATCAGTTCTGTTCGCTGACAGCCTTGTTCTATCCACCGACAGTCCAAGCCCTATTCGCTGACGGCCCAGCTCTGGCCCAGCTTTTGCTGACAGCCCAGCTCCGTTTAGCTCTGTTCGTCTGACAGACCTGCTCTGTTCGCTGACAGGCAGCTCTGTTGGCAGTGACAGCCCAGCTCGGTGTGGCTCGGTTCTCTGACGGCCGGCGCTGTCGGGAAAGCCGCGGCGGCGGCCCGGCTGTTCCGCCCCGGTGCGCCGGTCACCTCACAGGCGTGTCCAGCACACACACCAGATGGAACCCCGGCAGGGGAGAGAGGAGCGGCGGTCACCTCACAGGCGTGTCCACTTCCAGTGCATACCAGATGGTACCCCGGCGGGGGAGAGAGGAGCGGCGGACAGCTCACAGGCGTGTTTAGCACACACATCAGATGGTACCCCGGCAGGGGAGAGAGGAGCGGCGGTCACCTGACCGGCGTGTCCAGCACACACACCAGATGGTACCCCGGCAGGGGAGAGAGGAGCGGCAGAGGGAGAGAGGGAGGGCGGAGAGAGCCGCCATTTGTCAGTGGACGGGAGACGCCGTCAGCAGGCGCGCCCACCGCTCACCGCCACCGCCACCGCCCACCGACACCGCCCCGCTCAGCCACCCACAGACCCACCGGCCACCGCCACAGATCCCTCCCCCATCACCAGGGAGTCGGCCGGCGTCCAAGGGCCGGTGGTTCTGTCATCCGCAGACGCGCCGGGCACAGAGGGCGCCGGCAGAGCAGGCCGCCGGGCAGCGGCGCCGGCCGGTAACCTCTCCCAAGTTCGGAGCCGCGGCTGGAGCGGCGCGGGCCGCAGCTGGGCCAAGGATGGCGGCTGATGATCGGGAGTACGGCCCGCTACTGAGGCGTGTCATACCGTCCTCCCCCGCCCGCTCCCACCCACCCTGGCGCGCCGCAGCGCCCTGCCGGCCGGATCCGCCGCCGGCCGGTCCCGCCGCGAAATGACGCCGCCCACACGCACAGCGTGGCACGCGACAGTGACAGCCAAAACAGGCCGGCACGCGGCGAACAGCCGCCGGCGCGGGCTGCCACTAACGAGGGGAGGGGCTCACGCAGCCCCGGGTCACGGCAAGGACAGGTCGCGGACGGCGAGGTCAGACTTAGAGGGTGGCGAGGTCAGACCCAGAGGGTGGGAGGTCAGACTCAGAGGTCAGACCCAGAGGGTGGCACGGTGACACGGACCCGAGGCTACCGCCGCTACTAATTGCCGCCTGGTGTTTTAGTTGATGCGCCTCCCTGCCGCCGTTATGGGCCTCATATACCATTTGTCGGCCCCCGAGGACGTAATCCATTCGAATGGCGCCACGAGGCACACCGCATCGGGAAAGACCTAATCAAATTATGCACCCGTATCTAGTTATCATAGCATTTATAGGCAGCTTTACCGCTGACGCGCGGCTCTCCCAATGAGGATTACAATAGAGCGATAAATGAATCGCACATCATTAACAACGAGGCAGGTGCGGCTGCTCGAAGAAGGAAAAGAGCACAAGACGGCGAGAGGGGGAGAGAGAAAGCGTCTGAGACATGGGAAAAGGGAATGAAATACGAGACCGAGATGGACACAAAGAAGATAATACCGAGCGGGAGATGGATCTCCACAACTGAACGATGACCCGACGTCCGTCGACAGTGGCAGATCAGCCACGGCGAGTCTCAGGGTCGGAGCACCGGTCAGGTCACTTCAGAGGTCAGTCCAAAGGGCAGTCCGGAGGTCAGTCTAGAGGTCAGTCCAGAGACCATTTCAGAGGTCAGAGGTCAGTTCAGACATCAGAGGCCAGCTCAAAGGTTAGTCGGGAGGCCAGCCCACGGGTCAGTTCAAAGGTCAGGAGTCAGAGGTCATAGGGAATCCAGAAGTCAGACCAGACATAGGTGGAGAATTGTGACCAGCTGGGGGTGCTCGGGCGCAGCAAATCCGCCGCCGCCTAGCGGTGACCTTGACCCGCGCCGCCCGGCCGCGGCTCCAAAGCCAAGCCGGCGTGGCCGGCGTGGAATTGGGAGAGCTCGAGCACCCCCAGTCCAGCACAATTCTCCACCCGTGAGACCAGAGGTCAGATCAGAAGTCAGTCTAGAGGTCAGCCTAGAGGTCAGCCTAGAGGTCAGTTCAGAGGTCAGTTCAGAGGTCAGTTCAGAGGTCAGTTCAGAGGTCAGTCCCGAGGTCGGCGGTCAGACCGGGTCGGCGGCCACAGGTGACGGCCGCCGGTACCGCCACCTGCCCCGTCTCTGGAGCCGGGTCTCTGGGACGGACGGACGGACGGACGGACGGACGGTATAGGACGGTAACCGGGTCACCTAGTGGCCGGTGACTGGGTCAACGTTCACCTGCAGCGGCCGTGCCACCGATCAGACGGGTCGCCGACTGAGCACCGACACCGTCCGCATCCTGCCTCCCCGGGCGGCGGGCACCGATTCAGTCCGCCTGCCTCCCCGGGCGCCGCCCCGCGCCGCCGGCAGCTCGGTGTACTCGGTATCACCACGGCAGCGGAACGTCACGGCCGCCCAGCGTCACGGCCCGGCAGTGCGCCGTCACGCCGAGCCAGCGTCACGGCCCGGCAGTGCGCCGTGACGGCGGGCCAGCCGGCGGCCGCGCGGCGCGCGCACCCAGACCGGGGCCGGCACCCCTACAGATACATCCACACCGGCTCCATCAGCAGGGTGCAGCGAGGCAGCGGTGACGGTCAACCAAAGACCGCTATAACTCCGGACATTTTCCGGTCGGACACTGGACAGCTTCCTTACGATGAGAACACTCGACAGTTTCCAGAAGGACGGCAATCTGCCCTTTTATTCCGCTATCGAATTTCCCCGGAGATCATCACTTGACGGCCGAGGTACTCAACCTTGTTATGAACGATACCGCGCCCATTTTCGGTCGGCGTTGAAGGCGCAGAACCCCCAGTCCACATCAATGTGAATATATTGTTAATACCTTCCGTGAACGCATATACCTATTGAACGATAGAAACACCCAACAACAATAAAGTAATGGGTGAGGTTTAACCCTCGCCCCGTTGGGGGGGGGGGGGCATTTTGGCCCCCCCCCCCTGTGGT